TTGGAGCATATTATGCTAAGTGAAGTAAGTCAATCTCCAAAAACCAAATGCTGAATGTTTTCTCTGATATAAGGATGCTGATTCATAATGGGGACAAGATGGGGAGCATGGAAAAAAACGGACGAACTTTAGATAAGGCAAAGGGGAGGGAGAGGAAGGGAGATGGCATGAGGATAGGAAAACCGGTGGAATTAAATGAACATCATTACCTTAGGTACATGTAAGAAGACACAAATGGTGTGACTCTACTTTGTGAAAAACCAAAGACATGAAAAATTGTGCTCTGTATGTGTATTATAAATTGAAATGCATTCTGCTGTCATGTATAACAAATTAGAATAAAATGCAAAAAAAAAAAAAAAAAGGAATTGGGTTGCCAAAGGGGTTAGACCCACCGCTGGCAGGAGACCAAAAGCTGCAGGGTCACCTAGTGCGCTGGAGCCTAGTGGCTCAGAGGTAAAAGAGCCCCAACTCTGCGTCCTCGCCTCAAGGCTCTGGGCTCCGAACGCTTGGATGTCAATCAATATCCTAGGCCCTCCCACGGAGGAATTCGACCAATAGAAGCCGAGGGTCGGGGGTGAGGAGACGTTGCTGGGTCAGGAAGCAGGGGGCGATCGGCCTGGCGCTGCAGAGCAAACCCCAGTGTCAGGAACCCGCCCCTGGGGAGCAAATGGGGTGCGGTGGAACCCAGAGGTGAGTGCAGGGCTGCGGACTATGTGCGAGGTCCCAGCTTTCGGAGCGACCCGCGCTTGGCTTCTCAGGAGCACTTCTGGGCTACGGAGCCCTTCCCTCCGCGCTCTCTGGCTCCGCAGTCCCTGGCCCGGTGCAGAGGAAGTGCAGTCTTGGGGGTCCTGGCTGAGAGCGCTGGGGCCAGGAAGTTGAGGCCCGGGCCGAAGGGGAAGGCAGCTTTGGAGCCCCGGGCTGCCGCAGCCTCGCACCACAGGAACCGGACCACGGTAAGGAGGGGCGGGATGGGGCATGAGTAGCCCCATCTTCAGCGGTCTTTCTTGTGGCAGCGCGGTGTCCTGACCTGGAAAACGCAGCTCAGACCCTCTCTCCCGACCCCTCCCCGATGCGGCGTGCTAGGCGATGCCGCCAGGTCAGCCCGTATCTCCAGTCTCATCGCTGCTCTGAGTACCAGCCAGCTGCCTCTTGGCCAGTGGTGCTGTCACACAGTGGACTGCTCTCACATTACTGAGCTGCAGTTTTGGGACATCAGATTTGGGTCAAATGTGGAGTGTGACTTCTCAAGGATAATGTGGAGACCCTGGCCTATGGCCCATCTCTGCTTGACCCAAGGTCAGGGGTAGTGAAGACGGTTCTCTGGAAGGATTATGCAACGTTTTATGAAATTGTGAAATTTTCCTTGCTTTTCATTATGTTAAAGGGGGATTATCTTTGGGCTGCCACATTGCCCAAAGATAAGGAATTACACTGCTCTAGTGGGCCTTACCCCTCCTCACTGCCTTTAATTATCATTTGGAACATGAGGGTGTGTTTGAATCTGGCAGGACTCCTACGTCCTGATAATTGTCTAATTCTGCTTGGTGGAGGAAGCACATACTATTGCTCCATAGTATTTGGGTTCTGTTTCCCTTTGACTGTGTTTATTACACCTTATCAATGTCTCTTTTCCTTACTGTCTCTCTCTGGGGCTGATAAAGTATTGTTATTTGTTATGGAGAAATGAAAAGAAGGGATAGATCACTAAAATAGGGATTGCTACCTTCATTGCCCGGGAATCCGAGTGTCTTGAGAGGGCAAGATAAGTTACAATTCAAATTTCATTTCAGAAAGGCCATCCCTTACCAACTGATCCAACCTATACTAGTGGTTCCCCTAATTGACTGTACATTATAATCATCAGGGTACCTTTTTTTTTTTTAATGTTTCTTAACTACTCCTACAGAATCTGATGTAATTGGGTGAGTGGGACCCAGGCATTGGTGTTTTAAAAAGCTTCCATAATAATTATTAATGTGCATGCAGGGTTGAGGCCCATGACTTACCAAATGCCCTAGTTTTTTCTTATAGCACTTATTACTATGAGACTTATTTAATTTGATTACTTCTCTACCTGCCACATAATCTCTGTGGATACATCAACACTGGGCATATGAGGTGGGGAGGAAGGTACATGAAAGAAGTGGAATCTGTGGAAACAAATTCTACACATTACCCTCCTTCCTTAATTTTTCTAAATTTTTAAAAAATGACAGTAGAATGCATTTTGACCCATTATACACAAATGGAGCACAACTTCTTCTGGCTGAGGATGGTGTAGAGTCATACTGAAAGAGTAATCATGCATGTATATAGGGTAATACTGTCCATCTCATTCCACTGCCTTCCCATCCCCAGATCCCTTCCCCTCCCATCACTCCCCTCTGCACAATCCAAAATTCCCTTGCTTAATCTTTATTGAAAATTAAAACTCTCTGATTGACTAATCAATATCATGGTCCTCGATAGGTCTCCATTCTTTCTAGATGAAATACATCTGCTCTTTAGGAAATTTGAAATATAACCATTTATATTTGGTTATATTCCATGTAAACCTCTGCTTGTGTCTCATAAGTAGGGGAGAATACATTCTGAATTAAAATTCCGGGTACTTGCTCTAACTAGTGAATTACATTTATGTGGATAATAGGTCAGAATATTTAGGATAGGGACCATTTTAGAGACTTGAGAGGTGCAATTGTCTAGTAATATATTGTCTTTGTGACCTCTCCAGAGGGTGGTGTTCTTGTCAAATTTTCTTTGTTTAGTAGTTAACTCAGGTATTTCATTTATGTCATTGACATTTATTATTCCTAGTAATGTGAGCAACCACTGGTAATTCTCTTGTGAAATTGGGATAGAAAGTCATTCTATGGCTGTTACTACAAATACTAAAGAAAGATTGCTTAATATATGTCTTAGACTTCGAAACAGTCTTAATCAGAATTTGGCAGAATCATCCCAATAAATACTGGGTTCTACCTGCAAGACAGATTCTACATTTTGCTTTTTTATTTTTTTTCCCCAATACTACGGATTGAACCCAAGGGCACTGTATCCCTGTACTATATTTTCAGTTTTGTTTATTTTTATTTTGAGAAGGGTCTCACTAAATTGCCTAGACGGGCCTTGAATTTGTGATCCTCCTAGTTCCAGCAACCTCCTAATTCCAGCAACCTCCCTAGTTGCTGGAATTATAGGTATGTGCCACCATGCCTGACTATATTTTGGTTTTTGCTTGTCCTTTGCACATAAAAATAAAGCATGAATAAGTAGAGTTCTAACATTATACAAAGATTTGAAAACAAGACTG